TGTCATTGAGTTGATTCCAATTCATGGCAACTCCATGTGTGTTAAGAGTGGACCTGCACTCCATAGGCTTTTCAATGGCTGATTTTTCTTTCTTCTAGGCTAGACTTAAACCTCCAACCTTTTGGTTAGCAGCTGATTGCATTAACTGTGTGTACTACCCAAGGACTCCAATATAATAATAGCTATCATTTATTAAGTATCCACTCCGTGCCACATACCATGCTAGGTGTTTTATAAATACTTCTCTAATCTTTAGAAGCATCCTATGTAGGATTACTTCCATTTTACAGATGAGAAAATGGAGGTTTAATGAAGTTGGGACAACTGCTCATGTCATATAGCTAGCAGGTGTTAAGAGGATTCAAAGGTGGCTATTTCCATTGCACCAACAAAGTTAGAAGAGTCTTCTAGTTACTTATTTTAGACCTAGACAAGTTATTTTCAAATTAGAATGTGGTTTGTTTTGATTTTTGAAAAGATCTTAGATTTTCAATGACCACAAATCCAAAATACTACTACTATCTGGTAATGATACATTCTCCTATCATTTTTTTCTTATGCCACACTCACCTTGCCCCCTATCCGGACCTGAGCCTGAAGTTTGGCTAACTTTTCTTGATTCATGCTGTTGGTAAATCTAGGGGGGGAAAAATAGATTTGTTAAAGTCACTGTTTTACCAAAATTAAAATAACTGTTTATGAAAATAGTACCTTCTGGCTTTTTGCGCTTGCAATATGCATCACCACCATCATATTAATACTGCCTATATTCTTAAATATTAACAACTTCTTCTAGCTGTATAAACCAGATATTTAAAAAATCAAATTTATATAATATTATGAGCGAGTTATATACACAAACAGAAAATAAAATGGAGTTCAAATTCACCTCTTTGAACATCCCTCCTTAAAAACGATTCAGTGATATTAACAAAACCTTCAAGTAGGCTTTTTTCTCCAAAATCACCTTCCATATTTCTTATAAACCATAAACAGACAAAAAAAGAAAAAAAAAATCAGCTTGACAAAGAAATTCAATAATAGGCTGTCTAGCTGTCAAGATATGAGGTAGTCACGTCCTCTATTCAAGGTCAGATGGTGTGTTAATAAGGAAACAGAACCAGATCTCCAGACATTCAGCGTCTCCGCAGTACTCTACACAGAGTTCATTCAATATCTTGCACTAATATAGTATATGTCATTCTTGTCAAGACACTCTTGCATAATACAGGGCAAAACGCTTCACTGCACAATTAGACAAAAAAACTCTCTGCTACAATCACACTAATTTTTTTCAGGGGAGGGGAAACTCAAAAAAATAGCCTTTTAAAGCTATCTTGATTTTGAAAATTTTAAGAACATTATAAAGTCATGAATCCTAGTTTGGTTACTGATAGCCCTACTAAACTCAGGGAAAAAATTCTTCACTTTATAATGGGTCATAACATTCCACACTATATAAACAAATAAAAGCCAATATTAAATGTCTTGTTTTACTTGTTCCGTGGAGCAATAGAACATGACTGAGATGCAAAGGAGGGAGGAAATAAGCAACTAGTCTGCTATCAAACCTTTTTGGCTAATTCTTTAACCCCTTTATAACCATCACTCAGATGAAAGAGATACTATTTCCTTTATTTGAGAGATGAAAAAAAAAAAAAGAATCAAAGATAATATGATTACCAACTATTCTGTATCATGACACTGTACTTAGGCACTAAGCTATATTTATTTCTGCTTTAAGGCCAAATAAAGCACAATTCCCAAATAACATTCAGAATTTCTGACTCTTCAATCTGTGCTCAGCACCATATCACAATGCTCAAGCAGCTAAAAACACTTATAGGAGGAAGTGTGATTCGCAGATTAGCACGCAAAACCAGATGTCTTAGGTGTATGCCAATCTCGGCTCTGCCACAGACTTAAATTTGCTGATGTAAATTCCAATCTCTATACTCAAATATCCACAGAAAAGGGTCAATATTCACTTTTCTCAAAGGAATGTGGCCATAAAGGTATAGTGAAGTAACAAAAAGCCTAAGAAATAGGCTGAGTAAAAAATATCAGAACTAGACCCAGGCTAAACCCTTCGTTACACACACGTTTTGAAGTAACAATTCCCAAGAGAAGAGATGGAGTTACAAAGTCAAGACAAAGAGTCCTGATTTATTTGAAATAAAAGGAAAAACAAAATTAACTCTTTAAATCACTGCATACATGAAAGGTCAGATTCTATCCTGGGCAGTCAGGGTAACAGAATTAAGAAAACTTGTTCCCAAGGAGTATCTAAGAGAAAAGGCATTCTGGGGAGGTTGGAAGCTCAAAGGGATAGGAGAGGAAGAATGGTGGTCCTTTGTCTACAAGCAGGTTGGAGTGTGTGAAGTAGGAAAAGAGGATTGGATCCAGTCTAGAGAGAAAAGATGTCAAGTTCAGAATCTCGAAAAGACTGCAAAGATCAGCTGGTTTGGTTCCCTATTCCTCAATCAACCTTTACTGTGCCGTCATTCCTGTGTTAAATGTGAGGCCATTTTAAATACCTGCTGGCAGTAGGAGGGTATAAATTATCGACAAATAAAACAATTCAGCCCCCTGCCCCCAAACTTATTAGATAGGAAATAAGGGTCTCTGAAGGAAGAGTCACTTCCTAGGCCTAAAAGGAAGAAGTAACTTCCTAAGGCCACATGATTAGTGAGTTCTTCCTTGGAGATCCAAGGACCTTTTAGCCATCTCCTCCAGGACTCAAGAAGGGGTGTGAATAATGATGTTATAATCAATACTTATTGAGTGCCTAAGTTCCAAGCACTGTGGTGGACACTTCCACAAATAAGTTTACAGAGATAAAATAATTTTAACCTTTAGTTCCGCTTTTTTATTATGTGGGGTTTTGAGAGAGGCTTAAGCTTTGGAAACAGAAGGAACAGGGTCGTACCACTTCGGGATAATTCTCTGACCTTTGGAAAGTTATTTTACTTCTCTGAACTTGCTTACCTCCTCTATTAGAAAAGGTGTAACAGCACATAATTCACATGGTTGTTTTAAGCGTAAAGGTTAAAGGATCAAACAGTGTATGGCTCACAGCAGACACTCGTACTCAATAATTGGGTTGGTAACCATTGTTACCATTCGCGAGACAGGTACGGTATAGTGAAAGAATGCGGGAACGGAAATTGAAACCGCCATTCACTATGTGACACCAGGCCTGTCGGTCAATCTGTTTTCCGACATCAAGCAGCTGATGAAGCTATAAAGATGGGCAAGGAAAGTCTCAGAGAGGGAGGCAGATTTGTAAACAAACACTGCCATTACAAGGTGCAGAGCGCTGCAACGAAGTTCGGTCCCAAGCGCCTGGGGGCGGGGGAGGAGTGCTAACCTCAGTTTCCCCATCTGTTGATCTCAACGAACTCACTAGGGAGATCCAGTGAGATAGCAAGAGATAGGCTGCACAAAGCTCATGGCATTGTTGTGAATAATGAGGAGCAGCGGGACAGAGACGGGGAACCACTCGCCTCCACGGACTGGATCTGAGCAGTAACAGCGCGGGCCCGCTCGCCCCCATAGGGGGCGGTGGTGCTGGGGACCTTCCCTCAGGTGCCGACCCCCGGCTGCGCCGCCGGTAACCGACAGGCCAAGCCAGCCGCCTCCGCCCCCACTTGGCGCGCTACGGCGGAAGTGGCAGTCCGAGCGGTTGGCGGGTGTCGGAAGAAGAGGGCGGGGGGAAGACCGTGCGCAGCGGCCTATGGCCGTGGAGTGGCGGGACCGCCGGGGGTCTCACCTGAAGCAGGGAGGGTCCTCCAACACCAGCACGCGGCAAGAGCAAGATGGCTACCTCAGCGGAGACAGAGAAAGACGACGGCGGCGGGAGTAGTGTCCACGTGACACAGGTGGCCCCGCCTCCCCTTCGCCAGAGCGGCCTATCCCAGGAGCGTATATGTGAACTACAAAGCCCAGCCTGCTCTGCGCCTCCCAATAGAAATGCGGCAGGTGCAAGTGGCTGCGCTGCATCCTGGAGCTTGCAGTCTCCCGTGTGTTCCATTGTGTCCTCTCTACAATTTGTAAGGAGCTTAGTAGAAGGGCTCGGTGTATTTTTCTTTGGGTGTGTACTTTTGTTCGGTTGCTTTTCACAATGCATTAAGTACGCACTGTTAGACTCAACTAGTGCCCCGAGGAGAGATGGAAAATTTCGACCTGTTTATTATGCTGCAGAGAAAAGAAAAATTGAGGCGAAATACTCATCCCACGAAGAATCTAAAAACAACAAAAACAGATTTAACCAGAAAACACTTTACACTTCAATGTCTGCAGTGACTTATGCCCCGGTTCCCTAGATTCATCCAGGTGAATTTTGCAATAATCGGTCCCAAGTTTGGTTTTCTAGGAGGTTGCATCAGTTGGTTGCATCATTTCTGGGTGGAAAAGTTGCGGTTGTAAGGAAAAACAAATAAGCCACAGCGTTTCTTCTCCAGGAGGAAGGGCCATTCCTGCAAGGCACAAGACCTTGCACCGCAGAATTTACTGGTCAGGTCTCCTCGGAGACCCGAGCAGGAACCTAAGAGGGAAATCAAGTTGTTTGGTGTGTTTTATCTGCGAAAGAGGAAGGAGGACCGGAGGCCAATCGGCAACCGGCCAACGGTTGAGAGCAGCGGACCCCGATTTGCGTTTTGTATACTAAGTGCAGCGGTCCGGGGGGAGGGGCTAGCCTGACTGATCGACAGAACGCACAACGGTTCTCCCGAGTCCCCTCCCCGCAACCACTCCCCCTCCACTCCGCCGCACCACACACACCGTCTCGGTCCACCTTTTCCCTCTCGGTCCCGGGACCTGGACATTCAGAAACGGGAGGAAGCAACTCGCGCTCGAGGGTAACTCCCGCATCTTTTTCCTCCTACGTGATCTGCACCTTTAAACGTACTCCATCGCAAACCGAACCATGGAGGCACCACCCACATCCGTCTAACATCACTTCCTTCACGGTTTGCCAAAAAAAAAAAAAATCTGGGAACGCTAGGTGTCCCGAACCGCGCTTGGAAAACCTTGCGGACCTTCGGCTCCGACCCTGCGTCCTCTCAGCCCGGGTGGCCCAGCGCACCTACCAGCATGGAGCTGAGGTCTCGTGTCGGGGCCACCTGTTTGCTGGGCTTCAGTTTCCTGCTCCTCGCCACCTCTTCTGATGGACAGATTGGGCTTGGAAAGGGTCAGACCTCGTACTTAATCTTTACTGATCCTGGGCCCCTACCCTGTGTAACCCCCATCTTACCATAACACCGTCCTCCCCCTGTTCCATCTCTTAGGCCACGCCAGATTTCTTTTTATCTTCCCCAAGCGCTCCAGGAGTTTGAGGGAGATTTCTTGGCGTAGGGAGTAGCGGATCGGGGGAATGTTGAGATGGGGAAGTTGTACTTGAGGCCTCTCTAAATTCTTGGACAAAGAAACTGTCCTTAAACCAGGAAAAACATGCTTAAGAGCCCAGAATAGTGCCTAGCAGTTGGGCCCTCAGGAGAGGGTATCTTCCCTTTTGGGAGAAGTCGGGCCGTTGGGGACCTGCTTATGCAGAGACCCCTGCTCTGGCTCTATAAAGATCCCCCTCCTCACCTCTTCCAGGTTGAGCTTGGTCACTGCCTCCTCCTTTCCTTGGGGGGACAGCACCAGCCAGGGAGGCTTGCCAGGTGAGTAAGGAAGGACCAGATGAAGGGTAGAAGGTCTGAGGTTAGAATCACCAACAATTGTCTTTGGTGTAGCTTAGCCAGTGTATCTGAAGAAAGTGATTTTTTTTTTTTTTTTTTGAGGCGTGAGGGGACAATGGTTATGAATGGAGGGCAGGAGGTGCGACCATTTTTGCTTCTCTGCTCCCTACCCCATCCCATCAACTATATCTTCATTTTAAGCTTGATCACCTTTCTTCTTACTAACATTTTATTTGTTGAAAGTTGGATTGGCTGTTCTTGGACTCAGGGTTTATGCTTTTCTAAGTGGGTTGGTTGTGGCATGAACCCTCCCCTTCCGTTTTTTGTACTGATCTTACCGTAGAGAGTGACTCTGCAGCAGTCCTACTGCTGTTTCTAATTCTATTTTATCTTACCTGCAGTATTTACACAGTATTTCTTGGTGGTGATGAGATTGGGTGGACATTCAGTGTTCCTGAATGCAGTCACTCCTTCATTCAGTAAATATTTTTGGAACACCTACCCTGTTCCAGGAGCCCTGGTGGCACAGAAGTTAAGAATTCAGCTGTTAGCAAAAAGGTTGGCAGTTTGAAAACACCACCTGCTCCTTGGAAACCCTGTGGGGCAATTCTACTCTGTCCTATAGGGTCGCTATGAGTCAAAATCGACTCCACAACATTTTTTTTTTTTTTAACCTTATTCCAGGCACTGTCTCAGGTACAGGGGTTATAGTGAGCAGAACAGATTAAGTCCCTGCTCTCATGGAGCTTAGATTCAAGTTGAGTAGACAGAGTAGACACGTGAACAAAGTAGTAAACAAGATAATTTCAGCTAGGGATAAGTGCTGAAAAGAAAATGAAACTGATGGAGTAGAAGGGCTGAGGAGTATGGGGGGGGTGGCACTGCTTGAGTTAGGAAGGTCAGGGAAGGCTTCTCAGAGGAAGTGATGTGTGGATTTCCATCTCAGGGATGAAACTGCACAATGTGTCCTGTTAGGCCAGAATATTTTAAATACCGAAAATCCCATTTAAAACAGATAGCTGTGTCTTTAGCATAAAATTATAAGGATTCTTCCTAAGTGATTTGCTTTTCAGTCCTGAGGGAGACAGAAGAGTATAGTGTTAGGAGTGTGGGTTTAGATCTGAGTTTGGATTTGTTCTGTCCCTGACAAGCTGAGTGACCTTTGGCAAGTTGCTTAATGTCTCAAAGCCTCAGTTCCTTATCTGCCAATTGGCATGATAATAACTACCTCAGTCACTCAGCAAATAATTTTCTCTGTTCCAGTTACTGTGGTGTTGGCAATACCTTGGAGTCACATAGCCAATATCTTTATTCCTTGCTAGACTTAAAACTCTGTGTAGTTGTTCCTGTTACTATTGCTGCATAATAAGCCACCCCAAAACTTAGTGGTGTAAAGAAATCATTTTACGCTCATGATTCTGTGGGTTTTTGGACAAGGCACAGTGGGTAAATGAATAATTTCTTTTATGAGGATCAGCACAAAGCTGGTTCCTATGAGGTGGAGGTTAAAGATGCTCCAAATGTCCAACTTTTCCGAAATGCTGTACCACTCCATCATCTGTAACATCAACTATTCCCTCTCCCCTCAGTACTCTCCCTCCTGTCTTTGGGTTCGGTAGTTCACTGCAACATCTCACAGAACTCACAAATCATACTTACAGTTAAGTGGCTTGTTAGGGAAGTAACAGGATACAACTCAGGATTGGGATCAGTTTGGAAGTAACAGGAATAAAAACTCAGGACGCAGTTCCTCGATCAGGACAGTTTCTTCTCGCCCTCTGCTGCCCTGCTCAACTGTTAAACGTCTTAGCTCTGTGGGTTGGCAAGACCCACCACAGCTGTCTTGTGCCGCCATCTCTGTCTTCCATGTTACAACAGCTCGTCTCTGTCTCTCTCTTCCCGTTTGCTCCCCCTCCTTTCCTCCCTCCATGTCTCCCTTTAAGCCTAGTGCGATGGCAAAACTGACCAATCCCCTTGTTAGGGTTCCATACAACTTATTTGCATGGTCCTACCCCCACAAGAGTGCCAAGTACCTTATTTACATTATTTGCAAGCTATCCAGTCCCCTTGGTGGGTCACAAGCACTTCGTTTGCATAGTCCCACCCAGTCATTTGTTGGGACTTATCAAAGACTATGGCTAGAAGGGCCATATTAAGTAATTCACTGCACGCTAGTGGGGAAGGCTTATCTTTGTTTCGTGGTGTCTAGAGCCTCAGCTGAGCTGGTTACCTCTTCCTTCTCCATGTGGTCTTTATGCAAGGGCTAGTTAGGGAAGAGCCCGAGTATTGCCATGATTAAGTGCTTGACTGCTAACGGAAAGTTCAGTGCAGAAGAAAAGACCTGGCGATCTGCTCCAGTAAAAATTACAGCCTAGGAAACCCTATAAGCCAGTTCTAATCTGTCCTATAGGGTCACTATGAGTCAGAATTGACTCAATGGCACACAACAACTCCACTTTGTGGCAATTGGATTCCAAGAGTGAGTGTCCCAAGAGAACAAGGCAGAAATACATGGCATTTTATCATTTAGCCTCACAAGTCATATAGCATCACTTCTGCTGTACCTATTGGGGTAGGTTCAAGGGGAAAGGGACATATTCCCCCCCTCCCCACCAAACACACACACCCAACGGGAGGAGTGTCAAGGTCACATTGTAAGAAAAATATGTGGGGATGGGAGATATCGTTGCAACCACCTTTGGAAAGTATAGTTTGCCACAGTAAACCATGACCATTTCTGTCTTGTTCATGCTCAGGAATATTTGTTGAAAGAACAAATGAATGGTAAACATGTGGTACACAATGGTAAAAGTTAGGATCCCTGGACTTTCGCAGTTTGTAGTCTGGTGAGATATAAAGACAAGTAAGCAGGCAATTACATGACACCATGATGTGTGCAGGAGTCCCTGGGTGGTGCAAACAGTTAAGTAGGCTATTAACTTAAAGGTTGGTGGTTTAACCCACCAAGAGGCACCTTGGAAGAAAGTCCTGGTGATCTGCTTCCAAAAGTTCACAGCTATGAAAACCCTATGGAGCACAGTTTTATTCTGAAACACATGGGGTCACCATGAGTCAGAATCGACTCGAGAGCAACTGGTAACTGGTGGTGATATGTGCTGTGAGGGGAGAAATGCTGTGTGCTGCAGGAACACATAGGAAGGCAGCTTGAGACAGGAGGGCTGTGTTGTAAGGGTTAAATGAAAAAGCAAAAAGTATTCAATATTGTGTCACATACTTAGAAAGCATTTGATAAATGTTAACTATTACTCTTTCCTCCTGTGGGAGAATAATTATCCCTAAAGGGAATTACTACTATTTCAAACTTTTATATAACTCTTGAGTGGGGATTCTTGGGAAATAGATTGTAACCTGCCCCTTACCGCTTCCCCCTCCCCCAAAGTGCTACCCAGGCAGTGGTTAGTGAAAATATTGACGAGAAAGCTGTTAGTGGGGGCGGTTCATGTGCTCACTTGCCTGAAGCAGAAATGGATGACTTTGTCAAGTCTCTGAAATAAAAATCTGGCGCTAAGATGTATGGAGCGTTTACCTTCCATATGGGATAGATATTTTTGTTAGCCATGTTTTGCATTTGTGAAAACATTAAATGACCAAACTAGGATTCTAACCCAGGTCTGTTTGACTGCAGACAGACTTAATTTAGCCACTATGTTATTCTGTTTCTCAGGTACAGTGTTCCCTGTTTTAGAGGCTTGGCTGCCAGCTCTGGCACTTGACCTTTTGTTATTTAGGTTTCATCAGCTGGAAGGGTGGGTGTTACTTTTCTGCTGTCCTTAGCTTATACTGGTGAAAATGATATTAGAATGAAGTGCTTGAAAGTTCTGATGTAAATACTGTGTTTAGAAATGGGTTGCTTTTCTTACCCCCGACCCTCCGCCCTTTTTAAAATGAATGTTTTAGGGAAGGAGCTGCTGACGTGGGAGCCTTTAGCTCACTTTGCAGATAACTGGCATAAGTTAAGTGGCTGTGCAGGTGACACTTCAGGAAATTGGACTGTCTTCAGATATTCCACGTTGGCATGGGTGTGGGTGGTGTGAGGGAATGGGTGTTTTATTAACAAGGTAAATACTGCACCTTTTCAAGTTATTTTTGAAGGGAAACAACATGATCTAGTTTTTCCAGATCTGAAGTCAGTCTTCTCGTTCTGCCTTAGTGAAATAGCATTGCTGAAGCAGCATTGCTTCCTTCACTTACAGGCGGTCCCTGGTTACGGGTTACAAACTTACGGACAACTGGTACTTGCCCTTTAATGTTATGTAAATTTGCCCTCACTTTGAAATGATTGAATCAACCCCAAAACCAAACCAAATCCACTGTCGTCCAGTAGATTCTGACTCATAGCAACCCTATAGGACAGGGTAGAACTGCCTTATAGAGTTTCCAAGGCTGTAAATCTTTATGGAAGCAGACTGCCACATCTTTCTCCCGCAGAGCGGCTGGTAGGTTCGAACCGCCAGCCTTTTGGTTAACCGCTGAGCTATTTAACCACTGT